TGAGTGCTTTGGTATCTCAAGTTACAGACGTGTATGGGAAATGTGAAAGTTCTCAACATGCTCATAATTTAGACTGTATTGTAGTGACATCTATATAAGTGGGTTGCTAGTAATGTCTCTTTGGTTTGGGCTTTTTTGTTTGTTTGTTTTCTTTAAGAGCAGGTTCTACCTAAGAAACTTGGCAAAAACACCTTTAAAATAACTTTGACACATTTTTATTTTTAGACACATTTAGACACATTTTATTTTTAAAATAACTTTAGACACAGCAGTCTAAAACTGTAGTCCATTGTTCCCTTCTGTATATACAATAATAGTATTTTTTTTTCTAGCAGGGCATTTCTACTTCCTCTGTTGTACAACTGATTGTCCATTTCCTCTCTGTGCTGCCACCTATGCTCATGTTCTTTCCCCCAGCATTCTAATTACATCCATTCATTACATTATTGTGTGTTCTTTCATTAGTTTATTATGTGTACCAGAAATAATGCTGAAATAATTCTGTTGACTAATATAGCCATAAAGTAATGTAGGTAACTTTGCTTTTGCTTTTTTTTTCCTTGAACATCCTCAGATGACTTGACCATCTTTGTATGTAAGGACACAATTTAGTTAGATTGCACAAGCAGTAGGACCATAAAAGCTTCTGATAGTTTTCTGATGTTCTCATGTGGTACAGTTTTCAATCAACTTGTTCTTTTCTCTGTTGGCAGCAAAGATCCCGAAAGAAGATGTGCATACTGATTGTTATACTTGCTGTTGGAGCATTGCTTATTGGAATCATCATATGGTTATCTGTAAAACATAGATAGCTTTCTGGAGAAAGCTTTGTAATTTGTATTTAAATTAGGAAAGGAAATTCATAGTCATGGTTTGCTCATTGTGAAGCTGAGTAAAATAGTGGTTCTGTACTTCATCACACTTACATTTTTATAAGACATTTTGTTTTAACCTGAGAAATAATGTTCTCACTACTGCCATCAGTATAACTGCCTGCCCTCTCAGGTGTGGGTGCTGTCTTACCAGAGAAAACCAGTCAAGTTCATAAACTGTTCCATTAACTTAAACATGAAACATCTTAAGGTTTAGGGGGCTAATCAAAGTAATGATAATTTGTGTTGACATGATGGGTAATTATATTTTGGGATATTGCTAAATGTTGCTGCCAAAACAAACTCCTGAATTGTTGCTTGAGGCAATGAATTCACATCTCAGAATTTATTTTTAAGTTAGAAATATATTTTTTTCTCTCTGTTCCATCACATTCACCTACCCATTTGATATGGGTGGTTCAAAAATAAAATGTAAGTTGCTGAAGTCGATGTGATTTCTGTACCTGAAGCCTGTGAACTAAGCCTTCAGTTTGCTTGAAATCTTATAAATGTTCTGTTTATCTCTGTATCTGGCATCACGTATGGTTATGTCTGGAAACCTCCTGCAAAGGTAGGTAGATTGAATGATGTAATTACGTGAATTTTTTTTGTTCCAGTCCTTGCATTAAGAAATACTGTGTTTTATTGCACACATCTGGTATCTTTGCATCTGAAGTGTGCATGAGTGGGTTTGGTTAGATGAAAATATGCTCTAGTCTGTGACTTCAGAGACTTACTGGGAAGAATAGAAATTCCCAACTTCCTATCTGCACTTGAATGTCACTGTTTTGAGACTGTTTTGATTTAGTCCCCACGAACAGGTCCAAAGCTGTATATGATGTCTTTTACACAGCTTAAGAAAAGAAGATGAAAAATTCAATTCCAAGTTCAACACTGGTATTTGGAATTAAGTTAAAATCGGTTGAATCTGACTGAAAGCATTTTAAAAGTTTGATGCTTATAGCCTTTAAAATGACCTTTTTTCCTTTTGTGCCATTTTTTACTAATATATTAAAAATGTAAAAACACTTTTTTGCCAATTAAACTATTTGCCTTTTTACTTAATCTTGATGAACTAATCTTAAAAGTGTACAAAGTCACTTAATCTGTATTTTATAAAGTTCTTCCATACCAGATGGACAGAGAATGCACTGTGTACATGGTGAACTATGAAATATTATTTGGGAACAATCTAACTGTAAGCATAAATTAATTGTAACCATGCAACCAAAATAAAGGTCTTTTAAAGAGTACACTTTTCTAGTAGCTGCTTTTTTTCAGAATCCATCTTTAAAAGCACAGCTGTTGTCTTTGCCTTTATGTGAATGATTGAAACTTCTCTGAACAACTCCAGAGAATTTTAGGTCAGCTGGGAGGAGGCCCCAGGGAACCTCTCTTCCTGTACTGTACTTCACGTGGTTAATGAAAATGTTCCTGGGTCTTGCATTCCCGTAGTGATGCTAATGCCCTGGGATTTTTGTTTTCAGATTACACTAGTCTAAACAAGAACAGTCAGCATTTAGTCAGGTTTAGCTTTCTTACCAGTAAGATGTCTAAAACTGACTTTGGAAGTTTCCTGGCTTTAATGTTCAGCCAACTCTGCACTACTGCAAACAGGCCCAGAAGGATGGAAGGATCCTGTTTGCCAGGAGAATCTTTTCTCTGTTGCAATACCTCATACCTGCCTTTGTTAGTGACTGATGCCATTGATATGCTGAGGAATGAAAACAGCTCTTTGGTAGCAGAACTTCAGCTCTGACTCCTGACAGATCAGAAATTCACTCTGTGCTTGATATTTCTTACATTGCATTTGTCTTAGGTTTTCTACTAGGAGGATTCTCTACTAAAATGCATTACCACCTTGAGAAATACTGTCCTTGGGAAGAGATGGTGTATTTACTGCTTGTTTACCTTATAAAGGGATGTGTACCCTCTTTACTGAGTTTGTCCAGTAGTGACTGCAAGGTGGGATAGCCAGTTCATAAAAGCATCCCGTATGAGGACCTGGTGAGAATTGGGCTGGGGCAACAGCACCAAATAACTTGGAAATTCTGCAAGAGGCACAGTGTTGCATTTCCCAAAGCTCTGCTGTAACCTGCAGTCTCTGCTCTTCTGTGTCTGATTTGTCTGCATGTCTTTATCTCCCACATGGAATTGTCTGTTTTCAGTTATGTGCCTGTTCAGCTGTTCTCTGGTGTCAGTGGTTGGGGCACACTGAGGGAGAAGAGTGCTTCTGAGAGTCCCCATGGGTGCCTTGCTTGCTTTCATTTATGATTTATTGAAATAAAAACCTGCTTGTTGTGGTGTGGGGGTGGCTCCCCCATGTGCTCTCAGATGAAAGAATTCTTCCTTGAATCCCACTGGAGGTGGGACAGTGGAGCCCTTTACCTCTAGAAATGATGAAGGGCCAGCTCTCAGAAGTCACAGGGATGGTTCTGGCAGGTGTGGAGGCTTCTGCTGCTGCTGCCCCATCTGTGAGGCAGGGACTGGTCAGGAGGTCAGTGCTGGAGTGTTTACACACAAGCTCCTGTACCTGTTGGAGAGACCTGCCTGCAAGGCCCTAATTGCACATTAAGGATCTTTGTGATGTTAATTTTCAAACTTGATTAGGCAGAAACAAAGTGCTGGGAGGGGTTGTATTTAGAGTGTCCACGTTGAGGGGCATAAATACTCCTTTCTAAGCTGCTCTTAATGGAGCTTCTCTCTATCCTTCATTTCCCTCTCCTACATGCATACACTCTTAAATGTATGAAATGCAACTTCCAAGTATTTAAAGGAAGCTTTGATATCTATTAAGAACCCAATAAAACACTGGGTGTAACACCTATGAGTCAATGTTTTTAGAAGAAAGATTTTGGCTGTTCTGAATTATCCATCAATATCTGTCAGATTAGGAAGGCAAAAAATGCAATCAAAGCACCCTTCATTTTACTGAAGGAACATGCTAAGAATAGTTCCTTTGTAGTTATCTTAACCACACACCAGGGGTGCTTTTCTCTTCCTTCTTATTTTCTCAAAGAGCTGAATATCACAAGAGCACACAGCTTTTTTAAGTTTTTTCTTTTTTTTTTCCCCTGCACCTCCCCCCCTTTTAAATTGTTCTGATAATCAGCAGGGTATGCAATATCCCCAAGCTAACTTCATACCTGGGAGACTTCTTATGTCACCCACCTGCACACTGTGTGTGTACTGTCAGCAAATATGTTTGATGTCAGAGGTGTGGTCTAGATTTTGGATATCAATAGTTTGAAACCATGAAAAAAAGATGGAGTAAGGGGTCTAAAGGTTGGGGGAGGGAGGAAATGACATAATCTGTTAGTGAAGTTGAATCAATACCTTTGTTGTTGATCACTGGCTTAGGATGTTTCAAGGACTGTGTTGTTTGGTATCAAATTTGAAAGAGATTACTTGCTTTGCTTTTTTATTTCTGATTGAGCCCCGTTGGTGATTTCAAGAGCACCTGTGAGTGAGTAAAGTGCACAAATCTCCTCGCTGCTGGATATCAACAGTTGATGACTTTCTGTTTCTTATGGTACCTGTGGTGCAAAGTGGTGCTTAAGTGGGTACCTTGCAGCTTTCCCTTTCAGTTTGCAATTAAGTCCAGAGCTCTCACCCAAAGCTGTTGTGGAGTAAGGACTAATTATCCTCTGATGAGATGCCCACCTGCAGAGCCATTCTAGATGCTATTGCAATATAAGGGTTGGTTGCAAGAATAAATATCTGAAAGCAATCAGCTTCCAAACATCTTTGTCCTTGTAGGAGTCTGACGGTGCCCCTGATGCTGTAGAGGTTTCTTTAACTTAAGAATGCACATAACAAAGCATTGACTTAGCTTTGTGTATCCTGATACGTGATATCCTTCTGTGATAAAGGGAGTCGTGTTTGCATAATACTAAAGAACTCCACAAACCCAGAAATAACCAAAAAATGTAGCAAAATCTTCATTTTTTTTAGAGACAGAGAGCAACAAATGATGCTATAACTTGCTTCTTAATAAAACTCATTCTCAGCTTTTCCTGTTGGCTGTATTGACTATCTAGTCTTGAACACAGCTGCAGTGATTTGGCTTGCCGCTATCCCAAGTATCACTATTTCAAATTATCAGAAAGGTACTCGGGGTAAGGGAATGCATCACACTTGTGCAGGTACAGAGGAGGGCCACAAAATGGCTGGAGCACCTCTTTTCTGAGGTCTGAGAGAGCTGAGTTTGTTCAGCCTAAAGAAGAGAAGATTCCAGGGAGACTTCTTTGTGGCCTTCCTGTACTTGAAGAAGTAATCCAAGAGAAGTGGAGAGGGACTTTTTACAAGGATGTGTAGTGATAGGACAAGGGGGAATGGTTTTAAACTGAAAGTGGGTATGTTTAGATTAGATATAAGGAAGAAATTATTTACAATACAGGTGGTGGAATGCTGGCTTAAGTTGCCCAGAACGGTGGTGGATGACCCAACCCTGGAAACGTTCAAGACCAGGCTGAACTGGGCTCTGAGTAACCTGATCTAGTTGAAGATGTCACTGCACATTTCAGGAGGGCTGGACTAGGTAACTTTTAAGGGGTCCTTCCAATACAAACTATTCAATGATTCTGTATTTGCAAGAATATCCTAAAAATAAATATTCAGTATAAGTGTCTGTTCTTTAATATCTCTGTATATGAACACAACACTTCTTTGCTACTGCTAATAAAATACACTTTTCTGATTTAAAACAAAAACAATCCTAGATTAAAATGCTTGTTAGCACAAGAAAATTAATAATTTTGAAGCTTTTTCTTTTTATTACTATCACATTTTAAAATATGTCTTACAAATTGGAAGTCACTAGCAGCACTGTGCTGTTCAATCCTCCTTCCCCCTTCAAGATTCATTCTGGACTGATTTGTAATTGTGTTTTTTCTTTATTTAATGTTTATGCAGAAAATATTTGGTCTTTGGCAGTACAGATTGAAGTCTGAAGAGGTAATAAAGGTGGGAAGGAGTAGGCACACTGCGTAATCCAGGCAGTATAAATGATAATCTACCTTCCCACCTTTACTCATAAAAGCTGCTGGAGCTGCCAAGTTTGCATCTTAGAAGGAAGGACTCCAAGACCAACAGGGAACTCCTCAGCAACAGCTTCAGCTGCTCCCAAGTCCTGCAGGCTGGATAGACCTTTAGACAAAGGAGGTAAGCAGGGACAGGGAGAGGATCTTTTCTGAAGGAAAACATCAGCCAGCAACCTGGGGAGAGGGGTAGATAAATATACTCCCTGCCATCTGCACCATGTTTGCTTCCTTCCCACCCACCCCCACGCCCCTCTCACAGATACAGATGTTCTCAATGCAGAAGAAAATGGAAACCCCAAAATTGGATCCTTTGTATCTTGTCTTCAAGAACTTCTCTGCCACAGTATTACTGAAACAGGGAGATACCTCATTGTCTAATGTGCTGTTCTCCATCAGCTTTTCTTCAACTAGATAAAGTACAGCTATTATCTTGGAAATTAGCCACGGTGTTGTTAGGGAGAACTAGGCTGAAGAAGTTTGAGGGATCAGAAATGCTTATTAAAAAGTAAACTTATACTGTCTTTGTAAGATGACAAAAACAAGTTGAGGCTTTCTTATCTGTGTCAGCCATAGTTTTGATGTCTTCTGTAAATCATTATTTAATCAGAGAACTTTAAAATAGAAAAGCAAAGTAGACCATTTGTCCCTGATTTGTATTGTTTGGTAGCTTACAAACTAGTCTGTAAATTCTCAAGCAAGGGACTGCAAGGCTTGAAACTCTAGAGGAGGGGAGATGTGCATCACTGACTGCAGCAGTGAGCGCTATCCTTCATCTACTCTAACCCCACAGTGGCATCCCTGGAAAAGAGCAATCTGGCACCTGAGTGGCCACACAAAAGAACAAGGCATCACTAATTTTCAATTATTTCATGTCCAAGGAGAAGTAAACAAGGCTGGGGGAGAAGAATGTATCCACAAGGAAAGTCAATTCAGTAGCTGTCCTGAAAATCATCTCTGTCTGGTTGTGGTGGGGAGAGGCCAGAGCCCACAGACTCGTTCGCTAAGGCCAGGTGTGTGCAGACTCTCCCCACAGCTGAGGAAGAGGAGGAGAGTTTGGGGGTGTTTGGGGAGTTTTGGTTCAGTTGTAAAGGAGGCAGCTGTCATGTCTTAGAAGGGTCATAAACCATCAAAGACCCCCAGACTAATTATTGAGGCCTTCCACCAGAGGTCTGCTCCCTGCAGGAAGGTGCTTGGGCATTCCTTCATGTACCTGAACATATAATAATCTGTTGAACTCCATGTTTCCTGGGACCCACACCACTGGGAGCAGGGTGAAGAGGAGCAAAGGAATGCCACTGTATCCATGGGGGTGGTGATTATCTTCCTACTTAATCTGTTTCTCATCTTCTCCTCTCTTCTATTTTTCTCTCTATCTTTCTACCTGACATTTACTGGTAAATAAAATCCATACTATTGACTTCGGCACATGGTCTCACCTGCACTTTCACTCAGGCAAAGGCATCTCTCTAATAAACGTAATAATCAGATCTTTACATTGTATCAATTCACCCAAACAGGAAGTTATTTTATTTGAAAGCAACACTGCATGACTTTTCCCGATCTTGCCTTTTGTACTGGCAACTTTTCCTCAGCTCCAGCCTTTGCCTGGCAGCCTGTACAGGCAGAACCAGCTCTGCTTTAAGGCTCTGCCCATCCCACTGTGATGACTTTCTTTCTGCAAATAAGGTCAGTTAGGTTGGCTACGTGATTGCTGTGCTAGTCAGTAGTTCTAGGCCAGGAGCAAACATTTTATACACTCAAAGGCATTCAGTGATGAAACAATTTGACATCATCCATTCAGAAACTTCCATGAATTTCTCAACCAGTAATAGCCTTGATCTTAGCATACTCTTCCCAGTAAAGAGAAAAACTCATATTATTTATTCTGGCAGACACTGGAGTGAGAATTTTTGCTATTTAATCCTTGCAGCTCTAATTTTAGGATGGAGCTGCACCTGGAAAAAGGCAAGTGCACAGTGAGACAAACATTTCCTTGCAAGCTGGCCCTCCTGCCATCTCCTCTCCCCACCCTCAATCCCAAATTTACTTCCGAACATTACTAGGACCATAGAAGTTTGACCTCAAGTTTCTTTCCCCTCAGACATAAGATATCCATAAACACTAGTTAAACTGCAACTCCTCTGTGTTTAGGTAGAACTTATTTCTCAAAAAAAAAATAAAAAAAATATGAGGTTTATGATTCATCCATTTGCAAACACAGCTCTCCAAAAAACAGGCTAAAGGGATATTTTGTAAACCATGTACATAGACTAGAAGAGTTCTGAAAACTCAGAAATACTACAAAAAGACCACAAGATTAAATGAAAGTAAGAAAAATATTTGAGAGGAGAGGATGAGGTAGGGGTGACAGAAAAGGATCTTTCTAAACCTTGTGCTACAGAGAAGGGCAGAAACAAATGTATCAACTATAAGTCTGAGGAACTGGACGTGACTGGAGGGTTGTACTCTTGAAACATTGCTCTGGGCAATAAAGGGTGGCTGACTGTCACTCTGTACAGATGTCTCAAATTTTGGAAATTACTTTTCTATGAATAGCCTCTTGAAGCTGGCCTTCTCTACAGCCAGAAAAACCATCTTTGCTGTTGTTGTTTTACAGCTTTGGGAGGGGAAAACCAGGAGCTGTTCTGGATGTTGTGTTTCATTTGATTCCTGAGAATTCAGTAGTTTGGTGGAGTCATCTTGGCTATGGCTCTAGGGAAGTGGTCAATTCCCTGAACTTTTATTGACTTGCCAGTTAATTTCTTGTTGTCTGGGAGGGCTGCATTTGGAGTAAAAATGCAAGGAGGGCTGGAACAGAAGCAGGATGTGTTAGGAAGGTTTGTAAAAGGATTAAGAAGACCAAAGTAATGGCATCATAGTAATATGAAGAAATTGATATATACAGCCATAATTCAGTTTGGTTATGCATGAGTTATTATGACACAAATGTATGTCAGTCTCAAAAACTTAAATACTTAACAAGTCAGACACTTTATTAAATTGTATTCAAAATTTCAAGAAGGCATAAATATTTTTGCCTTGATAGTATCCTTGAAGTTGCAAGGTCAGAGGTGCTGTATTTTAATTACTTTTTGTTCTTCATTACTTTTATGCCTCATCTCTGCCATTCTGCCAGGAAGGTGCTGTTGAAATATGAAGTATTCCCTATGCAATTTTGTTAATTTGTGCTTTTCAACATGATTCCTTTGCACCAAAATCAGATCTCCAATACTCCTGTTCCATTCTGTTGGGATGTTTCTAACAAGAACTCTGCCCCAAGCTGTGTTCTCTGCTTGTATGCAGCAATTCCAATCCCCAAAGGAATGCAAGGACATGACTCTTCAAGACTGATATAATTTGAAAGGTGTGTACAAAATACAATGGCTGGTATGGAAGAAGTAGTAAAATCTTATGCTAATCTGACTTGCTGCTCTTTGATACTAAGGACACCTTGAATATTTTCATCTGGCAACCAAACACTTTTTTTTTTTTTAAGACAAATTTGGGCTGGCCTTCAGAAATTGTTTCTAGAGGGAAAAGGGAGGAGGTTCCTCCGCTAAATGCTGTGCCTTTCCTCATTAGGTTTTGCCATGTAGGTACACAGAGAATCCTTTGATGAGGTCCTTAACAAAATCAGAAGAAAAGCATTTAAAGAAGGCAAAAAGTACATTATCAAATGCTTTACCAGGAAATTCTTTGTCTGATAAAATTTTCTTTATCTGACTGATAAAGAAAAAAAGACATCTAGGGTTTGTAAATCAAAATGCGAAAGGAAAATGCAAATTGTTAAAAAAATTAGTTCACCCATTTCTAGTATGGGCTCCTTTTAGGAGTTGCTTGTTTTGTTTTTTTCTACTTATGCAGGGTTGTAAAATTTTCCATGGATACTCATTACAGAATACTTCCCACTGTGCTGAGTAGTGCCTAATGACTATTAGTCATTATGGTGCTAATAGAACCGATTTGCTTTTAATGGGTGCCAAGATAAATTGAGTGTTTATTCCCTGAAAGATGCTGTGGGCAAGGGGATGAAGAAGATTTAACAGGATGGCACAGGACTGGGGCTAGTCTGGGCTGCTGTGTGAGCGTCATCTTGGGTGAGAACAAGTATGTGACAACTGCACCTCGGAACTGAGCTGCTTCTGAGGTAGTGATAGGGAAATCATTTATTTTAAAAATTTTTTTTCCACCAAATGTAAGAGCAAAGTTTGGTGACACACAGTGCAAGATCTGCCCAAGATCTGCAGATGTTGTCTGTAAAACTCTCAAGAACTTTTGTTTTAAATTATTAGTCCAGATGCAGATTTTCTGGAAGAATAAACAGGTGACTGTGGATATCCCTTGAGCTGGCAGTGATGTACTTCACAGAGAAAACTCTGACAAGAGGCTGTGAGCAATAAACTTGTAATTTGCAGGGAAGTCTGGGTTTGGACTGCAACCTCACATCCTACCAGGGATAACAAGAGCATGGTGCTAAAATAACACAGATACTCCTGAAAATGCTGAGGAGACAGACTCTGGTCTATACTTAACACTGTGAAATTGCAGTACAGAACCAACAAACTAAAATTCATCTCATGTAGACTTTCTATTTAATTGAAAGCTGAGAGTTTGGCTATTGCAATGTCAGGCTTGTAAGAACAGAGAGAGATGAATGAAGCTAAACCAAAAAAAAAAAAAAGTCATTATGGTTTAAAGTCTGTGAAATGCCACTACTTACTGAAAATGACACGTGGTGTATCTAGGTTGGAAAGAAGAGCTCAACAACAGCATTGGTCTCAAATGAGCCTTCTGAGGTTGTGACCACAAATGGATGTGTACTATGACTGCCTTCTTCATCTTCCAGAGGGTCTGGGAAAGATGCTGAATTAACTTTTTCCTTGAGTAGCTCTGTTTCTGAAGCAGAACCATTATGGGTCCAGATATGTGACCCCCAGAGTGTTAGACTGCCAGAAGAAAATGTTCATTTCACTACAGTGATATTTTTCTCCTGCTGATTGAAAGAAAAGGGAAAAAAGAGGAAGAAAAAAACCACTTGTTTTCCTGATAGTGTGTGAAAACATAACTTGTCTTCAAAATGCTATATCATAAAGAAATCATGGACTAGGGGAGAAT